TTATTTTCGGCATTTCAAAATTCTCTCTTCTTATCGAGTTTTTCAAAATGTGTTTTGGCTATTCTTATCAATCAATGGAAAAGTACAAAGGTTTTCCCGTTACCAAAAAAAGTAACAATTCCACTATATATGAAATTATACCTGTGAACTTTTTTGGAGAAGATCATGCTTAATCACGTAAAGGAGCATTTGGATGCCTATCAGTTGCTTGCAAAAACTCAATCAGGGTTTCAGGATTAGATTTTAAGAACAATAGATGGGAATGGAACAATGTTCCGCATGAACCACGAGATTCTTTTGTCGGCAATACTCTACTTGGTCTTTTCAGGAAGTGCAGCCATATAGAAGAACAGGGCTGATATTTGATGCAGATGATCACAGAATAAATATGGATCTCCAAAATATAGTGGAATTATTAGATAAACATCAACTTGAAATAAATCTTAGCAAATCGAGTCCATTAATTTTGGCAGAGGAGTTGGAAAATATTTCGGAGTTTGCAAACAGCGAAAAATTAAAAGCAGTTGTCGAAGTTGGGAATTTAGGGGTGATCATCGACACAAATTTTTTAATTTTGAAGATGTATCTACAGAGGAGTGTTGTGAGCACAAATATTAAGCTAAAATTAGCAGACAGTCTTGTTTCAAGTCATTTAATGAAATAAAAAATCCTACCTTAGATGTTCTTACACGATTAGAAAACATGATGCAGTACCTCACAAACTCAAAGATGCTAAGTGATTATCTATGAAAAATATAGTGCCCACAGTACTTGGATCAGAATATTTACTACAGGGCTCATATGTATAAATTAAATTTAAGATTTCAACAACATATTTAAATATTATACGTAGCTTATAGAGTCAGAACATTGATCTTTTTAAAAATTGTTTTCTAACCCAATAAAAGTTCCATAGGATTTAGTTTGTAATGTTACTGCGGTGTGCACAGTACAGTTACATTATGCTTTTCCACCATGTTTTCCACAGCGTCTTTCGGGAAGCAATGTTATCTTTTGACTTTTGTATTAGCCGGAAGATTTTATCTTTTCACCGAAATAGTCTTTCTTCAAAAACATCTATTTACTTCACAATAATGTACTTTTTGACCATTTTTTTTTATTTACTGAAGCAGTCCGTATTACCGCTGTAATTTTACTATTATTTTTACCAGTTGTTGCAAGAGGTATTGCTATATTATTAACTGGTCAAAATATTAGCACTTTTTTTTACCCTGGTGGTGGCGATGATCCAACTTGATACGAACATCCAGGAGATAAATAAAATTCTCATATTGTTTCTCGAGAAAGTAATGAAAATGAAACTTTTCTAACTTTGGTAGTAATATAACAATTGGTTTATTGTGTTTCTTAGCGTGAGTACATCTTATATTTACCATTGCATGGTATAAATGTTGATACTCGAGCATACTGTACATCTGACACTATTATTGGCATTTCTATAGGAATTAAGCACATGAAACTAAGTAAAATTTTGAACCCACAGCTATAAGATTAGTGGGATCTATTTTTTTAATCATCTTTGATGGATAAACAGGAGTTATTCTAGCTAACTCATTCATTGATATTATTGTCCACTATTCATCCGCAGTAACTCATTCCATTCATGTTTTATAATTGTATTTGCTAATATCCGCTGACACCCATTATTTACCGGATTAACTTTAAATAATAATCTTCTAAAGAGGGGAAATTATAATTTTCTTAGAATTGCCTTTATCCCGTTTACCCAGATTCTTTCACTAAATTAGATATTATTTTATCATTTGACAGAATAATTTCTAGCATTTAAGCTCTCAAAGTTAATCTTTATTTCGATTTGTGTGCTTCCAAAACATTAACTCTCCAACATAGAACTTCACCATTGATAGAATCAGTAATCTTCTTCTATGATCACAGATTAATCATATTGATTATGATACGAAATTCAAAGTTGTGTTTTTCATTTTTGCAATAGTTCGTTGCACTTCATACACTAGACCAAATTTGTGGAATTATTCAGCTGTCAAATCGGTAATTTTAAGGAGCGCTAGGTTGATGCTTCGAAATAAAAGTTGAATAATGAACAGACGGAAAAAAAAAGCAGCTACCGCCAAACGACCACGAAGTTTATTGATTAAAAGGCGTTAATAAATACACCACTTTACTCGGCAAACGTAATAAATCTTAGCCAAATGGCATATTACCTACGCCTTGCAATAGTTAAATAGGTTTGCTAATTGCATTAGTGTAATTAGACTGTTCTCACAGCTGTAACCGTGCGGACCAACAAATAGATTACTAAATTGTTTTCGTTTCGACAGAAACGGATGGGAACGTTAGTCTGAGACAAAGTATAGCCAGATTGCGGACGTTTCAAGTGAAAATATCTGGGGGATCTTATTGTTTTTTTCTGATTTGCGATCCCATTGCTCAATTTTACGAAAACGTCTAACAAGATTTACATTTAGAGTGTTCGATATGATCAGTAAAATAGAAATTTTTTTCGTAGGTAAAACAATTGTAATCTCGATGTTGTAGCTTAAATCTAATAATATATAATCTTTGCTTTTTGAATATACGGATGCCGATTTCAATAAATGATTAGCTTTGGTTAGTCATACCTTCATTTTCTTCAATTTTTGCTGTACCCTACTATTACATATTACACTATATTATTTTTTAATTATCTAAGCAATTTAAGGGTATTAACTATAACATACAAATACAATTCATATTGAGCATAGAGCCAGCTTATTTTATTATTTACTGTCCACTCCTGTCCATTTTGCAAACTGTGTTTAATCTCCAATTCTATAGTTAACATGTTAAATATTCAAACAATATATTTGAGCACAAGCACTATATAATAAAATAAATGTACTTTTTAAGCTCAGAATAAGTAAAAGTAATATAAAACTAATATAAAATAAATAAATATAATATTACTGATTTAAGGGAATTGCGCTTGTAAGAAAAGCTTAGTAATGATATGATGATTGGTATCGCATATCTAGACTGAATTAAACTTACTGTATATTCCAGTACAAATATGCCTTACCTACCATTATGATATTGTAATTATAATTCTATTCTATTTGTCCAAATAGATTTTTTGAATTTTTTGAATAAACCTAAAAAAATATAATAATTTTTCTTTCATTCATTCATTGAGTGCTATAGAAACGTGCTCGAAAAAGATGTACACTTCTCACAATAACTAAGACTATGGAAAACGGTAATTATAAACTATTGAAGATATTTCTTCTTTTTCCAATTTTTTTCGAATATTCAAAAGAACTAGAACTAGAAATTTAATATGTTTTACATTATTTTTAAAAAAATATACTTTCATATGGGCCTTCAAGTAGTATTAAACAGCTTGGAAACTTTTGTAACTCTAACTTAGGCCTCATATGAAAATTGATGATGATTTTGTAATACTTATAGTTTTATATCCCAAAAACGGGGGTATTTATAAAAACTTTTGTAAGCGTTATAAAGCCGGTAAACAAATGAAAAATATTATTTTTCTACTCCGGTATGTAAAATGCCAAATTACACACCGATCTAGCCTGCGAGAAGCGTCACTTTACTACGTCAGTTTCGTTTCCCACGGATCCGAGCCACTTCGGACATTTCCGGGAGCAATCGGATGTTTTCGGAGATATTTCTCACGCTTTGAATTTTGACGTTTGTCAATTCTGACGGTCATGTCAGTGAATGTATGCCTGTTGTTTTGCGAAAATGTACCCAAAAACTAACGGACGTAGAAAGAGTATAGTATGCAACACGTTCGATAAACTTTTTAAGTCACTCTGGTGTTTCGTTTTTGATAAATATCTAGATAAAGCTCAGAATTTAACTAGACATGCCTTTTTAAATTGTGTAAACGGAAGAAGTTGGAAAACAGCACCGTTTTTGACCCCTTACAACAGTTAAAACTCGTTGCCATAACCTTATCACACACTTTTTATAAAAGCTGTTGCTATTTTAATTTTTTTGCCAATTTTTGTTAGCTTGTAATCGGCTTGCTTCTACATAAAAAAGTTTGTTCCTGGGTTACAAGTTTTATATCATTTTGATGGTTTTACCTGTGGAATATTTGTTAGGTGCTTTACAATTTATAGGGGTTTTTCTGAGGAAGCAATAAAACCTCGAATAAAACCCTAACAGTAAAAATGGTTGTTAAGACTGCTATTAAACCTTTTTAAAAACCCCGAAGTAACCAACATCAAAAGTGTGTATTTAAAGGAAACATTTTGGATTCAATACTATTAACTTAAACAATTTTGGTATTTATTCGACAAAACACCACAATGGCCATAAAAATATTAAAGCTGTTGTAAACCTCTTATACATATTACCTTATAACAAAAACTTAAACTGCGAAAAATGTTAGTACACAATTCACCACTACTTTTGTTATACTTAGACACTTAGGCATAAACTTCAACATCAGTCACAAAAAGCTCACTAAAAAACGTCGAAAAACTACTAAAAAACTTGGTATATCAATGGGATACCGTGGTTGTCAAACCAAATGAGATCGATAGATATCGGTAATTGCGGACATTTTCTTGATCTCTGTTACCCATCTTTCTGGGACTATTATATTAACATTAGTTTTGTTCATATAACTCCTTCATAAGCTCACTAATAATGGTGGATGGTATAATAGAAATCTAAAAAAATATATTCCAAGCGATTTTTACTCGCTTCTAGCGTGCGAAATCTTATTTCTGACCAAAACCTAATGACCCGTACAATTCTCGGACTTCCTGTGTACCAAACAAAACGTTATACATCCACGGTGCGAGATAATAGTAAAAGTAATGATTTTTCTTTCGACGCCGCAGCGTCGGTGAATGTAAAAAAAGATGCGCTTTGTAAGGTAAGGATCTTCTCCTCGCGTTTGATCGGGTGGGAGTTGCCACTATTTAAATACATAGTTGATGAACCTAGGAGCATCGTATGATCATAGCTTTAGTGCCTTAACCACCATGAAACCGTTTTTGGTACGTACGTTAGAAAATATAGTTTTTCTTTTTGACACGGCAGAATTTTCGAAAAAGTGACGTGATTTTTTTATAGCAGAGTGGTAGTGATTCGCTTGGTTTAATTGTCGTGCTATGTACTTTCGAGGCGATAGTATTCATATGGGTTTTCTTATTTTCTAAGCATTTTCAAAACATAATTTTGTGATTTGATATGGATTCAATTTAATTTTTGACCGTGCTTTGGGTTTATTTATTTACTTGTAATACGTCCATCAATAAGCTGACACCACTTGTAGGTTGAGCAAGTACATGCGCAATAATTGTCATTATAGATGAAGTTGATAGATTAATATCAAATAACCAAAAAGTACATGTCTCAAAATGATTTGTTGTGGTTTGGGCCTTATGTATTAAACTTCAAGAAATTCAAGTAGAAATTAATAATATTAAAAGAATTGTGTAAATATTAATTCAGTTTGGGCCTTATGTATTAAACTTCAAGAAATTCAAGTAGAAATTAATAATATTAAAAGAATTGTGTAAATATTAATTCAGAATATAATGTGTTAATACATTTTTCATATATATAATTAATTTTGTTGGTTGATACGAGTGAACTTTAAAAGATGGAGTTTTGGTTAGTTTGATTTTCATTTAATATTTCCGCGCATGTTTCTTGTTTCTAGGAGAAAATCATCTTTTTATATTCGTAGATGGTTAACTTGGAATTTTGGAACATTTTTTCACAGTTTTTTTTGTTACAAAAATTGTTTCGGTTTCGCCATCCACAAAAAGTTATTGAAAGGAAACTTATTTTGAATTTAAAGTAAACGATTCTTGCTATCAGGATGTTAAGATTTAAAATGAAAAATGTAGAATTTTAAATGTAATTAAATATATAGCAAATGCTTCTCTAATATTAGCTCATGCCGATGTATTAAGAATTTTGAAAGTATCAACGACTTGGGAACTCCATTAATAACGAAAAATGTCGTCGAATTGCTTTCATTATCATAGTCCCTAATTCACATCAATATTCGCTGAATGTATGCTGATTCGTGGAATTTTTAATTTATTTTTTTCTCTACGCAGAATAATACGACCCTTTGATGTAACCCACATGGTTAAATTTCTATTAATTTCGGGTTTTAATTATTCAATAGCTTATAAAAATATAATTGCACAACAGAGAAAAACAAGAGACTTGCGATCATTATTATAGGTTTATTTACTTATTGCTTTGTCCTCATTTTAGTGTTCGATGGCATTTTCCATAAATTTAGCAGATTCTCTTGCTGAAAACTATTTTTTTCTTCCAAATCTTCACATCTATCACTAAAAAAACTTTAACTTTTAGTAATAGAAACTTATTTTAGGATGATCGAAAGAGAAAAACACCTTGCAATCTTTAACGACGTATTTTCTACCTTCAATTATACCGAATGTGCAAAATGAATCATGTTAATGTGCTAAACGTCGTAATTTACCAATAATTGGTTAAAGTTTAATGAACCCAAGTAGTTAAGTGTCGTTACGGAAAATATAAGTATTTCAAAAAACGTTTGACTAATTCTTAGGATAATCTAGCTATGTAAAAGGTACCGTTTCTTTTTAATATTCAGTACAGCAGCGTACAGTAAGGGCAGTTGTTCAGTTACATATAGTGACGTAATCAAAAGTGATCCGTATGTCTTAGCTACATTGCCACCATTTTTAGAAAAGTGACAAAAAAACTGCCAGTGTAGACAAAGGTGTCATGCTATGACGTAACTGCACAATTGCTGTGACTGGACTTTACTAACGTTTTCCGCTCGAACAGCAGTATTAAACATTCTAAATTTTTCGGGTATTAACCTCCAGTTGCATTATGAAGTAATGAACGCTAATCGCCTCTGGATCGCATGTGCGAACGCGGCTAATTCGATGTTACGAAAGTGCGAATCTTTCTGTACGAAATCGTGGGAACCTCTACTTTCGAGCCCAGTCGCATATGAATTGGACCAAGGAGAAATATTAACACAATCTCACATTTCTAAACTAATTTTGATTTATTTGAAATAACTCCTACTAAAAACAACTAAAATAATTTTCTGCTATATGGTATTAGCTAATACTTAACAATGTTTGATGCTTAATTCAATTATGATTATAATTATAAACGTTTTTAAGATCTGGCGCATATTTATATTACAGTTTTCTTAAAGATTGATTACAGTTAGCATTGATCGCAGCCCTACTTTGTCCACTAATATGTTGCAGTATTTTGGCTGTTAACTAATGACAATTTCCGAAACTTTCTACTTTAGTTTGGAGATAATACCAATTGGATAGGTTCGAAGTGCTTTTTTCAATCGGTGCCACAAGCTCTCAATTGGGGATAAGTCCCACCTATTTAAAAGTCATTTTAAGACGAGAATATTCATTTCTTCAAACCATGAGCTGATGAGCAGTATATTCTGCTGGCATTATGATAATCATATGCTTCGTGCTACCCTATCTCTACGGTCCTTTGCCCGCTCACAAGTGGTTAAAATATAAAATAGAATATTCTTCTAATGAATTTGACTTTTTTAAAAATTGAACTTCTTCTTCTTGTATCAGCTTCTTCTTTGAAGGTTGCTGATCATCATGGCAATCTTCCCTTACCTTCACTTTTGATACTGCTGATCTAAATAATTCAATTGACGATAGTTCAAACCATTCTCGAAGATTGCGCAACCAAGATATTCTTAGGAGCCCTACACTTCGTCTACCTACAATTTTAGCCACGATAATGAGTTTAAGCAACTCATATCTTGCACCCAGGAACTCACTTTTTTGCCTTCGCCTTTTTTAATGGTAAAGAGTATTTCGAGTTCTTCCCAACACTTCTTTGTTTGTAGTTCTACTCATCCACGAGTCTCTCAGCATGCGTGTATTTCAAAAGCTTCCAACCTCCTTGTGGTTTCTCTATTCAGCGTCCAGCCTTCCTAGCCATAAAGCAACACGGGACCATTGGACCATTTTTGTTCTTACTGTTAATGACAGGTCCGGAGCTGTCAATAGATTTTTCATTTTTATGAAGACTTTTCTTGACTGTTCAATGCATGCCAGGATTTTAGACACCATTTAACGCAATTAAACTATAACAAAAAAATATTCCGATTTCACACTTATTTCCGTGATTAAATTTGATAAAAGCACGGTGTTGCCGAAACAGCTGTTATGGACCAATCAATTGTTATATTGTTACACAATTAAACTTTTATTATGATATATTTTTTACTGACAATGTACTTCTCCATCCCATTTTTTCTAATGTTGTCAAACAAGTGTATTTTGAAACTTGTTTATCAGTGACCATTTAACAGCTATCTCTTTAAGCGCCGCTCTGTTGTCTTGTTTGATAATTGCATGAAAAGTCCGCTCATCTCTCAGAGTGTCTCTTGTTATCCCTCGAGGATTGGTTAGGTTTTTTTTGTCCAAAAATAAAATAAACTATTTTCTCTTTTTATATTGTTGTAAGTCAAATAATATTTATTATTTGGAACAACTACACGTTACTAAATTATTTTAGTTGTCCTGGTTTTAGTTATTTGAGATTTAAGTTCAGAAATTCACGATCGTAATGATAATGAGAGCTGAATATTAAGAAAAAGGAGGACGTAAATCAGTATGAAAAATATGTTCGTTCATCCTTATGGTTAGAAACAGCAGGAAAAAGTAAATATGTTCTTCGAATACTCGTTTGCGGATTTTCGTGGCCAACATTAACCACTTGACCCGAAACAATAATATAGGGAACCAAGAGAAACTCTTAGCGTTAGAATGGTAGACACTCGAGCGGAATTTAAATGTATGCGGTCCTCGAATACGGTCGCATTTTCAGTTATAATTGTTATTATAACTTTCTTTTCATTAGGCATGCGGTCGGCGCGGATTTTCACCTTCTACGCGCGTGACCCCCCCAGCTTAACTCTTTCTTTAACCTCTCCGTTTAGCGGGTCCGTCGTAAATAATACGGTAGAAAGTGCGGGCGCTGCTATTATTGACAATAGCGTTATGGTCTTTTCGTGATAAAGCTCCGAGCTTTATTTCGCTTTCTATAGATTGTCGTTTTTTTCTCGGTCTGTGGTTTGACACTTGTTGAGTAGCCTTTTTTTTTGAGAATTTAATAATTAAAGTCTATTTCAGAAAGGTGTGGAGTAATGACACCTTATTAACTATAACCGTTTTTTTTCGGATTCAACAAAATAGTTCTCGAAAACTGTTTATCTACTTTTTGATCGAGAAGACGCGTAAGGTATGGTTTCGATATCCTTCGCATGAGATATTTTTACCGGGCGCGCCAGTAATTCGCCAAAAACTGAATATTGAGTTCTCTTTGGAAATTTGTGTTAGGTTACTTTGTTTGAGAGCTGGAATTTTCATCATGTCTTCTAAGCGATAAATTTTTAAATTTACCGAAGTTTGGCACGATTCTGAACTTAGCTCGAGTATATATTTGACAGGCATCTTCTACAAGATACGCGTACAAAATAATTGCATTGAATTTAAGAAAATTACATAGTGGCTCCCAGGAGAGCAATAGAAAAAAGCTGCGAATTGACTCCTTGACAATAAAATGCGACACACGGTGTAGTTATTTCGCAACATTGACAATGAACGTTATGTCGGCAGCTTTTGTCAGCGCTGGTGGCCTTGGCCAGTGCTGAAGCTGGCTACAGCTACAGCCCCCCAAGTACCTCCTACGGATCGCCGTCCAGCGGTGGCGGCGGATTTACCAGCTCCGGAGGTGGATTCTCTGGTGGAGGCGGTAAGCTCATACTTTAGCAAGTTGTTGACAATTATGAAACAAGGCTCTAATTTGAGTTGTATTTTAATACAACTTATTGAATATATACAAAAAAAAAAACAAAAAATTCTTATGTCGTAGGCTAAATGCCAATGTGGGCCATTTTCGTCATTTTCTTTAGTATTAATTTTATAGAAATTGTGATTCAAAAACATAAATGGGCATAAAAGTACTTCATAGTATTTGCATACCTACTTTATTTGCCGTTTTTGAATGGCGAATCTCTACCTATATGTATATATATATATATATATATATATATATATATATATATATATATATATATATATATATATATATATATATATATATATATATATATATATATATATATATATATATATATATATATATATATATATATATATATATATGTGTGTGTGTGTGTGTGTGTGTGTGTGTGTGTGTGTTCGAAGTGTTTTCTGAGCGCGAGCATTGAAGATGCCAAGAGAGATTTTGGCGAAACGTCTGCAGGATTCCAGTCGGAGTCGGAATATAGTGTCATCATATATAATTTCGATTTTTTATTAATGAATTCGTCTTGATTTTCAACTTCAAAGTTGTTGTTTTTTGTAACTGACTATAAATTTTCTTATGAATAAGGAAACTTTTTTAATTTAAAAAATAACATCCAGGTTGTATATTAAACTTTTAGGAGGCCACTATAGCTCAATTTTTTTGATTTTTTATGGATTTCTTTGGATAGGCAGGTGTAGATTGTATCCAGTTCATTTTCCGCTGAAAGAAATAAATTGTTTTTTCCTTTTAAGGAGGCGGATTTGGCGGAGGCGGCGGCTTCGGCGGCGGCGGCGGATTCGGAGGCGGAGGTGGTTTCGGCGGAGGTGGCGGATTCGGAGGTGGTAAGTTTCGATTAAACGCCACCTAATCCAATTCAAATATTACTTATAATATTACTGCAACAGGAATCGGAGGTGGTTTCGGAGGAGGCGGCGGCGGCGGTGGAGGCGGCGGATTTGGCGGCGGCGGCGGAGGTGGATTTGGTGGCGGTTTCGGCGGTGGTGGCGGTACCACCATCCAGAAACACATCTACGTCCACGTACCTCCACCAGAACCTGAAGAATTTAGACCGCAGAGGCCCATTCAAGTAGGACAGGCCCAGAAACACTACAAGATTATCTTCATCAAGGTAAGGCTTTTTCGGTGTGCGACCTATAATTATATTGTATATATACGTCGTCTTTGTATAGGCACCAAGCGCCCCAACACCGACTGCCCCAGTGATCCCGTTGCAACCACAGAACGAAGAAAAGACCTTGGTCTACGTTTTGGTCAAGAAACCAGAGGAAGCGCCTGAAATTAACATCCCCACGCCTGCGCCAACTCAGCCCAGCAAGCCCGAAGTATACTTCATCAGATACAAGACCCAGGTTAGTGGTTTTCTTGCTATATTTATAATATTTTTAACGGCAAGGTCGCAAAAATTACCTAACTGCCTCTAGTAACAAATTAATGACCATGTAGCATTTGAAGCTGGCAATTCAAGAACTTGTACATTATTTTCCAAGGGTGAAATCTCAACCAATCTAATAGGTATCGCACTAACTTGCACTTCAGGAATTTCAGGAGATATCCTTCGTTCTGATAACTATGGAAACGAAGCTTCTTTTGATTCTTCTATCAATTCAAAATGTAGTTTTTCGCGGCCTTAGCGATTTTGGTATTTCTATACGCCCTCTATCATTATAACGTGAAATAATTCTAGAAACAATATTTTCGGAAGTTATAAGAAGGCGTTTATTGTCATTTGATGCATCTCCGTGGTGATGCGATTTCCTTTTGGTATATTTATTTCGACAAAAATGGGAACTATAAAGTTGAATGAACCTGCAAAATTTCATATTTAAATTTACCTTTATGCTAACTGGAAGATTTGTTGTCGCGTTTGTAATAGGATTCTTTCAACTATACAAGTTTTGATTTCAACGCTTCCTAGTTAAAGAAAAATAGAATTCATATTTCATTTTATTTTATCATGCAAAGACAACTGACATCGATTTTGGTTAAAAATTCACGCTTAACAGAAGTTAACGCGGAAACGTTTCTGTCGGCACGCGCCGTTTTACGTCACACAGTGATACAAGCATTTTTCCGTCTTGCGACAATCGACGCATCTTCCTATTTTTATGCTTTCCAATGAAAGTGCATCTCCGCCTGCGTTTATGGAGGTGGGCTTTCACTTTTATTTCAAACGGCGACGATTATTTATTGGTGATTCAACAAATTGCAGGTGCATCGTGCCAAAACGTTACCGTGTGAAATTTTTCCGAGAGCTTCCAACAGGTTATAGAAATATAGAAAAAAAACTGCGTATATCTTAATTTCGTTATTAATTTTAAAATTTCAGGTTTAAAAATCGATACTGTTATAAAACTGAATATGTAACTTTCCTTGCGCAAATTTTTTTTTTCGGTATTTTGGTTCATTTTAACAGATACACTTGATCTTCGGCAATAATAATAATAATAATAAGTAATAACTGTGCTTTTGTCTTCTGTAATGATAACCAGTTTAAACAAATCATTAATACATTTATCAACTTGCAAGAGCGAAGCTTAGTGTAATAGGGGTTAAAACAATCACTTATTGTTGATACGACCTAAATAGCCGTAATTTTTTCTCCAGACATATCCTGAAGAACTATTTTTGTTAGTTAATGTTAGTTAATATTGATGTTTTTTAATAAAGTTGAGAATTAGCTTCATTAATTTGTATCAAAGAACCAAATTGGGCATGATTTTCGATATATTGTATAAAATAGGGGTTAAATTTAAGTTATATTTTACACAAAATTGTATATTGCACAGCATTTACAAGCATAAACTATTTCTGGTTCTAAAATTTAATGAAACTGTTTCAAAATTTTTGTTAACAATGGCAAAATAACAGTCCCAATGTTATTACAGAAAGGATATTTGTGATTTACAGGTTGACCTATCTTTTTGACTCACTTTGTATTATGCCTATGCTAGTAATATGTGCAGAAACTTCTAGATGATTAAAACTTTGAGAAGGGCCATTCAATAGAATATTCAATAAGAACTAACGGCATTCAATAACCAATATGGCCGCTGATAATTCGTAAATTCGGCAGTTTTCAGTTTCGATTCTTCATTTTCGGTAATAACGGGCATAATTCTGTGCGCTCGGATTATTTTGACAGACTAGACATATTAATCTGTGATTGTGAGGTGATCTTTATCTGCTTTTCATTATACGCTTTGTGAAAATGTTCGAAATTATATGATATTAAGGATGACTAAGTAAATTTCGTTTGACCACAGTGATCAAAATATACTCAGAGGACCAACAAAACCCATCAAATACCGAACGCAGCATTAGAATTTTACTACCGTCACGTCATTATTATTCTGCATATTTGCACATTTGTTCTACAGACAAGCTATATTCATTTTCATTTTGTTAATCTTTTATTTTCAGAAAACTACCACCGGAGGTGGCGGCGGAGGGTTCGGCGGCGGTGGCGGTTTCGGAGGCGGCGGCGGCGGAGGATTCGGAGGTGGCGGCGGCGGCGGTATCGGAGGCGGCATCGGCGGGGGCATCGGCGGAGGCATCGGCGGAGGCATCGGCGGCGGTAAGCCTTTTACCACTTAAATGGGGTTATTATTAATGTTTAACTAATCTTCAATACTATGTGAATAATTCTCTCTAACCGACAATTTTTATCTGCCCGTGATAGGAATTGGTGGTAGCGATCACGGAGGTATCGGAGGAGGTAAGCAAAACAAAATAGAGCCCTTGCATGAAATTTAATTTGAGGCAAAACATCATAAAACTTTTTACTCACCTGCTAAAGCCTGATACCAGAAACTCTTCTATGGATTCTGTTGTTGTCATTGCATTTAATCAATAATAAAGTTGTCCTACGTTACTTTACTTAAGTTATAAGTTGTGTGATGATCTCTAACTTCATAACACAATAACAAAAGTAATAAATAAATTTAGGAATGAAATGTTAGCGAAATTATTATCGTAATTGAAGAGTACATTTTTTGGAACTTTATTGAGATTAAAATTAATTTAAAACTTACATATTATATTAAATAATAGAAAAAAAGAAAATCCGACCTACTCTTTTTAAGTTATCTTTGTTGGTTGTTAAGCTGAACTTTAATAAAAGTGGCTATCAAGTTTTGGTCAGTTTTTAATTCGTTGTTAATGTTTTATACGTTATTTGTATAGTTCAAAAAGAATTTACTGATTCGTCCATATATTCATTTTTATTATACTGGGACATTTCTTCCATCTTCCTTCTTTTCTTCTTAAAGAATTTCCAAATTAGAGTAGTCAGTTTTGGTTAGCTTTTGATATTCTTGAAAACTCCTTTCCTGACTCTTGCAGGGCAATACTTATAATAATATAACCTCAAAACGCAGAGAAATTGTATTATGATTATCAGCCAACAATTTCCTGTAAGATTATCATCAAATTGCACTGAAAGTTGTCAAACTGTTATGAAATGATGAGGGAACGACAGGTGGTTTGAAACCTAAGTCAGTGTCGTGCAATGCATACACTTCAAATGTTCCAAACAAGTGTCAAACTAATGTGGTTAACACTTTAACGTATATATCCGCATCCAGCTAAAAGACGTACTAAAAAAATATGATAAAATAAGGGAGCACATCTATTTAATTAATATCTAATAATAACTTTCTTCGTGTTTCTTTTACCGCCGCAGTGTTTTTGTTCCTTCTTCTTCTTTTTGTTACAGGCAATCTTATAACCTTAACTAAATGTCAGGTCTACCAACTAACGCAACTTTTTTTTTTAATTCCAATACCAACACAAGAATAACTTTTAGATAAAATCATATGTTAATTTTTTTTATAAAGACGTACCTAAGCACATATGATAGGCAGTTAGGCAGTTAAGTACCCATGGTAGGTAGATAAACAAGTAATATATTTTCCCAGGAATCGGTGGCGGTTCTGGAGGTGGAGTATCTTCCAGTTACGGACCTCCAGGAAAATCCGGACCATACTAAACGACCACCCTTGCGTTGGCCGCGTTCGTTCAAGAGGGAAGCCCTTATTCCGACGTTTCATCGCTCATTACCTCCATCAGTACTCATGACCCGTCGCTTTTTCGAATCGGAATACGTCGTTTTTTTCGAGCACGGACCGGCCGCAGTTTCCCCATTCGTGATCTGCTGGATATTTTGGAGTTGGGGCTGCCGCGTTTGCGGCCGAAGCCGCCCCCCGCCGCGTTTTGAAGACTAAAAACAGGTCGCCGTATTTTTTTTGTGGGAGGGGGCGCGTTTCGGTCACGCGCGGCGGCCGTTTGTAAATATTACGTGCAATGTTATTTTTTTTATATATTTTATATTTGTATATTTTATTTTTTTACGTGAAATCAAAATACGGTGACAAATAAATGTATTAAAAAAAAACGATTCGTTTTAATCTCACCCGCGTTTATATAGATTATCAGTACTTAAATTAACCTGAATACGGTGCTGTTCGGGATCATCTATGAACGAGTCAGAGATGGAGAAAATACAATTCGCTCTTCACTGGGCTAGTCTGCTTTGGTCATTCGCCCATTTTCCGGCATCCGCCGAGCATATTTCTTTTGGTCGCATACCAACACGTAAAAAGAAGAAATACAACCAAAATAAACCGGCTTCCCCCGCGGACTAACCGGGCCCATCCGGCCTCAAACCGGCGTGAACAGAGAAAACAGCGGGGCCGGCACATTTAAACACTTCAAAACATTCACTAAACCATTCACACAAAATAACCGATATCAAAGTTTTTAGCAAGAACATAACAGAATAGGAAAGAATCATCAAAGAAAGTAAAGTGAGACAAATTTTGAGGGAAATCATATACATATTATTATAACGATCATACAACATATCTTTTAAATGTTTGTAAAAAAACAAATTTGTAACAATCAAACTTTTTTCTGATGTCTTTTAGCGGTATTATTTCAAAAAAATATTAAAATATAATATAAATATAGTACAATACAAATTGAATATAAACACAATAAAATACAATATATTTACCTAGATATTGTAGGTATAGCTTCCAATTTAGGCGAACAAAGAATAAGTTCACGTATTCTGACGAAATGTCAAGCATGGCGTCTAAAGTGTATTGATGTGATATATTAAATGGTTAAAAGTTTAGCATGCAAATCAATTTGTAACCGACACAAAAAAAGTTATTTTTAAAAACTTTTTTAAACAGTCAGCGGTATATACTCAAATAGTTTGGAAACAATGACATCATTGGGAACACTTGGCAAAAGTATTAAATTTTGTAAAAAATATGTTATAAAAAGAAGAATTATTAAAATTTTTACAAGGACTCACATTTGGCCTTACCCCGTATTAAGTGCTGCTATTTCCAATATAAATCATCAACTTTGGATATATTTTTCTTGAATATTAGGCCAAGTATTTCTACGATATGCCCGTCGACTTCGAGGTTTAATAAATTATATGTGTATTATGTGTATATATATTTTTAAAAAAAATATATTTTAACTGTTGAAGTTACTTAAAATTTTAAATTTTAATTCCGAAATCTGGAATGAAATTTCTGAATTTCAAACTTGAAAGCTGTTGGGTTTATTTGTGAGAGAAAGCGTTTAAATGGCAATACGCCGAAGAAATAAACTATTTTCAGAACATGCAAATTTATATAAGTTATTCTAATTTTTAATTCTATGCATTATAAAAATAAATAAAAAATATTTTCCTTTTAACTTTTATATATAATTATTGAAATTACTACCTAAAGTTCTTAGACAGGCCTTTTTATACGAAGAAAGGTATTTAATTGTATTGAAAAACTTAAGCATAGATATTCCTCCGCAAACATCATTGTTGTCGGAAATTATAAAATATTTCAAAAAATTCACACTATCTCTCTCTGTTTCTCTCTCTCTCTGCCAAAACTATTTTAGCCGGATGGTCCCCATCGATTTTGGCGTAATCCCAAATTTACAAATTTTTAGGAAGCATAGTTTTTTCATAACATTTTGTCGAAGTTTGTGTGTATGTGTTATTTTACGGCGCGGTATTGATATACTTGCCGAACATACGGTTAGCGCGGATCGAGATTGTTCCGAGTTTTTGATGCTGAGGATGAAATCTTAGAGGAAACGAAAAATGAAATTGTCCACAACAAAGGAACAAAATGTAGTCATTTATTATAACAATAATTTCACAAAAGTCACTGGCAGATTTTCACGTACAAAACAAACTTACGCTATATCGAAAATATATTCCGCAAGGTTTTCCATAGAAATTTCCCCGTTAAACTAAACCGAAACTAAACCCAAATTTTATTTACTTCGAAAATTAAAATAAAACAAAAGTCAACTCGATTTAACGCTTTTCTAAAGAGTGAGTGATTAGTGATCCAGAATCACGGATCACCGGCGATCCCTCTTTTCTCAGGTATAGCAGCCACTTCTCTTTGCAAACCTTTCGCTTGGGCTCAAATATTCCCTACCAGAGGTTTAAAGAGACTGGCCCAGCACGCCTCCAATACTACTGTGATGCTTAATAAGTACTTATTTACCATAGGTGTTTCTAAAATAAGTCCGAATAAGGCGCGTGTTTAGATTAGATTTTACTTTTAGGCAAACGGCCGTTATCATAACTCTAGCTGTGTACAGGGCGTTTATTTATTGGGCGCCATTCTGAGAGAAAAAGTAAAAAAAAAAACAGAAGCAGCCCTAATGAACTAAAAAAACGTTTTTTTTTTTGTGCGAAAAAGATGCTTTCATAAAGTCTAATTTACCACAAAAATAAGGATTTCCAAAAACAATTTAAAATTTTTAAAAAACACAGTGGCCTACTATATTTTCTTCTTAAATATTCAATAAATCAACAATGTGTATGCAGGTGTGTATAAAATCTGTTAAAAAAAGCTATTTTCTTCTTTAATTGGGCGATTCCGTGTTAAATTAAAAAAAAACACACACTTTTGCATAATTTTTTCGTAGCAAGTAGCAAGCAAGATCCCAAAAACAATTTTCTTCAAAAAATCTAATAAAAATATCTGGCATAATAAAAAGTATATAACAAGGATTGACGCCCTTAAACATGAGCACAATTGAGAAATGCCCAGCACAATTGAGAAATGCCCTGCACATTAAGAGCTTAAAAAAAAGTCTAAAGCGCCTAAAAATCACATTCAACTTATGAATACCATCTACGGCGATAAAATATACAATCCTACGTCTTAACGAAACTAATATCACACAATCAAAATAATATAAACGACAATTCCGGCCCCATCCCCTTACTTTCCCGATTTTGTCAAAACGTCCGGACTAGAGTTACGCTGATAGTTTTTCAGGCATTTGATGTTTTTCAATTCCCTGGTACCGTTATAAGTAAAATTAACGTCGCAGTTGCTCAACGGGTGGTTGTTTAAGGTTTTGGGGCTCGAGGGAGTACCCACCCCGCTGTCCACCGAATGGGTAGGTGAAACTTTCGAGTCGTCCGCGACTACGTCGCTGTTTTTCCGGTTGTTCTCGTACTCTTGGATTTTAATGTCGATTCGGCTGTTAGGCAGGTTAGACTGGCTGTTGTTCAACCTGCAAGCACGAGTTTTGTCGTCTTTTTATTTCGAAAATGCTTGCAGTGGCGTGTACAGGGTGTTATCGAAATGACATCATATATTCTAGTATACCATGACCAGAAATATGGTATTTTTACAACCGACCCCGTGCTTCACTCACTCACTCACGTACTGTTCATTACTCCAAAACCGCAGAACACTTATAGCACACCCTGCCGAGCAGACCCTTACCCGTAACCATTCAGGACCGTCCTAGGAATATATCTACCTACAGTAACAAGCGGGATGTAGTATGTTTTCAATCTTTTTCGCCGAGCAATTCTTGAAACATGTACTCGTTTTTCAAAATTAGATCAGCTTGGTACTGATATTTTAGCTATGGTCTATTCATAGAAAGTGGTAATACAGCGTGTGTTGAATCGTGAGCGAATTATGCAAAATATGTGCGAGTTTAGTGTATCGGAGGAGATGCTCCCGCGCAAATGTAGAAAACACTATTCTATTGAGACTAAGGAAGTTATAAACAATGTTTATTTGATTCTCATGGAACGTGGTGCCAGCAAGCAAGCATCCTTAGAAGAAACGGCCACATTGACTAAAATTCCAACATCAACTGTATCGAAAATTGTGAATAATCCCATTTCAGCGAGGAAAAAAAGAAGCCATGCTGACATTTTCTCGAGTGTAGATGAAAATGATCAAGATATAATACGGCGTAAAATTTACCAGTTATACGAGGAACAAAGCGTGCCTACATTAGATATCTTAATTAGAAGGCTTGAAAAAGATGAAACCGGTGTTAAATGTGGCCTTATGGAAGTGTACTCAACATATGGGTTTTAGATTTTTAAAAAAATGACAAAAGGCAAGTTTTAATGGAATCTCTTAGAATTCTGAAATGGCGAAAGGAATATCTAAAAAAAATTAGGATTTACAGAGAACAAAAAAGTCCATTATTTACTTGGATGAAATCTGGTTCGACACGTATGATACGATACGGAAAAAGGTTGCGTTGACTCAACTGATAAGTGTAAAATAAACGCGCCATCAAAAAGAGGTAAAACAATAACTATTTTGCATGCTGGCTCTAAAGACTCTTGATCACACTCAAATACCTCCGTAATATATACGAGTATATTACAATTTAGATTAAACTCTTGTGTGTTTTGCGAAAATGTAAAGTCTGTTCATAGATATAAGAAAGTGGCTAACTGATTTGGGGTTTTGTTAGGAAAGATACTAAACAATATTTATTTATTTATGTATGTATTTACGTTTAAATCTAAAATAAAATTACAAATTATTTTTATTACTTACTTAAATTACTTAAAATTATTCACATAATATATCAGTATCACTATCGCTATCATCGTTCTAATTATTATTTGTTCTATATTATTTGCAATAGGGATATACGATTGTTCTGCTTTTTCTATATGTTTAACAGAATTTGCCCAACTAGGTGGAGGGATGTTAAAAACTTCGGTTTCTATAAGTTTGAGGACATTGGAGTGAACACGGGGAAAAACATTGTTACGACGAATGGCAGATTTCAGTTGGTGCCAAACATGTTCAATGGGATTAGATATATAGTGGTAATAAAACTGTATGGCCTAGATTTTTTGCATAGTTATCATAGACGTATTCCTTCCGATTAATGGGGATTTTCAAGCCTCCTAATTAAGATATCTAATGTAGGCAAGCTTTGTTCCTCGTATAACTGGTAAATTTTACGCCGCATTATATCTTGATCACTTTCATCTACACTGGAGAAAATGTCAGCATCGGTTCATTTTTTCCTCGTTGAAATGGGATTATTCACAATGTTCCATACAGTTGATGTTGGAATTTTCGTCAATGTGGCCGTTTCTTCTAAAGATGCTTGCTTGCTGGCACCACGTTTAATGAGAGTCAAATAAACATTGTTTATAACTTGCTCAGTCTCAATAGAATAGTGTTTTCTACATTTGGGCGGGAGCATCTCCTGAGATACACTAAACTCGCACATATTTTGCATAATTCGTACACGGTTCAACACACGCTGTATTACACACGAAATAAGAATGATAAATAATAAACTTAAACTAAGTAGTATACCAAACCAAAGAATATAAATCACAGGTAGGTATAAAATTATTTTCTATTACGGACCATAATTTTATCTAAATCTAAATTCCGAAACTTTAGGAAATAGTCTTGTTGTATTGTATGTTATTGGCTACCATTGGATAATCCCATTCAAAAGCAATTGGTCACTTTCTTATATCTATGAGCAGACCATACCCAAAAACTAAAGGTCGTAAAAAAGGTATAGTATGCAACACGTTCGGTAAACTTTTTAACTCACTCGCTGCGCTCCGCTCGTATCAAATAAACTCCTGAGTCAAATGCCGTTTAGCGCACTTGTTGCGTAATATACTATTTTGGGGTTCGAATTTATGACATTTATGACACTGAAGCACCTTTTCATATTTGAGCTTATTAAATGCGGGGTTGCACGATTTGGCAACGCTTATTGCCTGGTTTACCTCCGAAAGGTCACACGACAAGAACTTAATACGATATTTTTCCAGAATTTTTTCTGAAATACCAGTAACGGTAATAAAGAGCATTGTTGTCATTTGTTTCTCGTCCATAGGATTCATTTATTAAATTGTATGTCATTTCAATAACACCCTGTATAAACAACCAATGGCAATCAAATGCTAATAGAAGTTTCGCTATTTGCATTTTCGCATTTCGCATTTTTATTTTGCTTTCTGTTGCGTTATATATTTTTTATTGTTGTAATAAGGCAGTATTAACTGTCCTCATTTAAATCCCCCGCAAGTTAACGCTAAAAAATGAGCCTTTTTTATATGGCTACATCTTTTTACAACTATGATATAGGACAAACCAGAACATAAACGTTTAGCGATATTATGGGAAAAAACCTACCTTTGCTGCTCCAAAATATTGCTGTGCGAACTGGAGAAGAACTGAGACTTCTTTTCTTCCCTTTTTAGACCGGCGGGCAACGCGTTCTGAGCGTTGGCGTTCAAACTGTTCGATCTGGGCATGCTCTGATCCAAATTCGTCGACAATGCGATCCTGCCGGTACTCAGGGATTTCACCATGAGCCTATCTGGAGACATCGCGTTGTCGTGTTGCTGGAACATCTTCAGGAGATTGTTCTGAGAACCCTCTTGCTGTTTTTGCTTTTCGTTGATCGATATTTTGGACATGATGCTTCGAACGTCGTCCGGTATCTCCACGTCCACCTTCTGGTCGATCAATGTTCCTATGAAATTCGCCAAAGTGGCTACTGTCACTTCTAAGCCGCGGCTTTGCATTTCCGACCGATTCAGTCGCGCTTGTTGGAGCAAGCGAGTTTTCTCCAACCGTTGCACGTTGGCCAGAGCCATGTCCAACTGGGCCATTAGAGTTTTGTTTTGGTCGGTTAAAGTTTTGTTTTGAGCCTCCAGCTTCGACAAAGCTTCCACCTGAGGTTGTACCGCCGACATCTCCTCCTGTAGCACTTGGTATTCGACCTTGTACTCGTCCAGTTGTTTGTTGATGTCCGTTGTGTAAACCTGCAGAGTTTATGGGTTTCAGTGAATTCTAGTCCCATTCTTGAAGCATACAAGGTTATACGTGCGTGAATTTGTGGTAAATATTACCTGTTTCATCACTTTTTCTAGACTCGGTTTATCCACGTTGGCCAGAGGCCCTTTTAAGTAGTTCATTATTTCTTCGAAGCTGTCGCAAAGCAGAATTTTTTCTTTATGGTGGTTTAGCAATGCCAAAGCCACTCGAAATATCACGTCGGTGCCCTCGAAAAACACCAGATCTGAAGGAAACCAACATTTTAATGAAATGAAATTTTCAGTAACCTGTTTGAATAATATAAAAGTGCGGAAAGTGGTACAGTGATAAGTGATAAAAGTGATACACAATGAAACTAACGAAAGGATGTTTCATCAGTTAATGATATTATTTTAAATGATTTCATAAAATATGATTACCCGAATTTCATCGTACAGAAACTGTCGACATCTGTTCCCGAATGTCTACAGTTGCAAAGTAGACCCTTTTTAAAATGTTGTGGGAAAAAAAACAGCATGTCAAGAGGAACCTTACAGGAAAAGTCAAGGCAGACCAGTAACAGTATGTAAGAGTCTTTGATGAAGACATCAAGAGTGCAATTAAAAGAAAAGTTCACTCTTTTTATTTAAAAAAAAGAAATACTCACCTTAGGTGGAGCTTCGTCAGGATGGGAGCATGTCGTTGATAATTGGAAAACTTATGCACATAGAATAATATATACTGAAACTTTTATGAATTATTATAAAAATATGGATTTTGCCTGCGCCGAAGAGAGAAGACGAAATTCCGTTATCTTTATGAGAGTTGGATTGACGAAGATCATAGAGTACCAATATCAATGGGTATTAAAGTGCCTTCAGGAAAATAAAACAGACTAATAATCGTCCATTTTGGAAGAGGAGAGGGATTTCCAAAGAAGGAACATTTCTGTTATGCAATGCGGGAGATTACTATGATGTTTTGGAAGATTGCTGATACAGCAGTGGTTATGACACAAAAACTTATCACTGGTCAACCACCAAAAATATTGATTTTGAAGATAATTTCATAGAGAAGCAACTATTTTATATAGCAAATCAAGTGCATCTTTGGAAACCATTTTTAGTGCATTTGGAATTATTTCAAGTCCAAAGGCGTAGCATAAAATATAAAAATTGCACAATTGCACCTTAAAAAATGTTGTTTAAAATTAAAAGTTGTATACATATACGAATATATGCCCCCCTAAACATTTGTTTCTCAAAACAACAGTGATTCAAATATTCAGGAAAAAATGTTTAACAAGCATTTAAAATAAAGATTTTTTTCTTTCGATTTGCATGCATAGGATTTGTTACTCTACTCCTTTCTGAAACAGACTTTAACACCGAATTCGGTTATGTCGGGAACCATTTCTTTACTTACCGAAAACTCTAGTCACAAATCCCAACGGGAATTGCGACGCGAACATGGTGAGCAACCAGGGAGCCGCGTACAACGTGGGAGGCACCTCGTACAAATCAAAGTGACTATAAACCTCCGGAATCTGGTCGTGAATTAAGCGAGAGAGCTGATAAAGTTTTACTTGTAAACCGACCATATTGGGGAGGTATTGATTGCGCAGCCCTCTTCGGAACATCAAGTGTCTCAATAGAAAAAACGCTTTGGATTCTTCCATCTAAAAAAGAAACTAGTTTCAATAGAGCGGCAACAATGGCAAACAACAACTTTTTTTTTTCTGAGCAGTAAATAGAAAATATACAAGGTAGGTTCAAAAATTGGATGTGGATACCAAATTTTGTTTTTGTTAAGTGGAACACCATTTTTTAATATCCATTTTCGAATTATTTCTTACTTTCTTCAAGCAAAAGTATAAAACACAAAAAAAATGTTTTGAAATTTTATTATTATACCATACAAATTTTGCTAGTAATAGCAATAAGATATCAAGATACGTATTTCACTGCGCTACCTATATTTCATTTTTTAGAGGCGCTGTAGCGGCGTCAATGAGTGACGATTTAATGAAGCAATAAATGCTTTTTCCAATGAGTTGAAGTTTTTTAAAATCCGCGCTTAAACTATTTATTTAAAAAATATCCATTCATCCCTGATCACTTTATTATAATAGATACCAATACAGTTAGGTAGTTAAGATAATATAAAGAAGGAAATGATTTTTCGCCCATGTCTACATTTCAATTAATAACATGTACTTGGGCACCATTTTCTTTCTAAACAGCGATTTCCGTACACTTAAACTTAAACTATTGACAATCTGTCAGCGGTCATGTTGGCTGTTGAATGCCGTACTGTCATTGGCTAAAAACGAGATTTTAAATGTCGCGCATGTTCAAGTTGAATAGCCCTCCTCAATTTTTTTTACAATTACTGTATTACGGCCTAGGCAGGGCCTCTATATATCTAGTAGCGATATAAGTGTAGCAATAGAGTGAAGTCCGGATATAGTGTTCACTATATCCGAGGTTTGCTATAAGCAATAAATGAACTTTTGTACACAACTGATGTTTACCCGATGAATGGAGGTTATTACATAATTTATATTATGTACGTTGGTTTTGTAAAAAAATGCCACGATATACTAGCATTTTTCTAGATATGTATATGTATTATGTAATGTGTTATTATGTTAAATATCATTCTGTACAAAACAAGTAACAAGTGAACAAGAACACGTAAACAATATATAAAAACTGAAAAAAATACATGTATCCACCTACTCTTGGATAAACAAGTCGGATATTTTGGTTTGTACGAGTCTGTTAGTAAAGTTAATATTACTTATGTAGTTTTCAAGGTTACAAAAAGAATTCCAAACTTCTCTATTATTTTTTCCGTCATGTCTTTTACTGAAGGAACATTGATCAAGGCCACTTCCTCAATAGCCTCCTCGTTCACTTCACTTCACTCAATTCTGTATTTGTTTCTGAAAAAAAATAACGAAAATCAGTCATTCTTTTAATGTCCACATTTCATGTTAACGCCAACTGGATAAGTCTTATATCAAAGATTTGGTTGGAATAACTTGATCGTCTATTGCAACGTAACTTTTGAAGTCGTTCAATTCCTAATTCCTATTCCTAATCTCTGCTTCAAGGACTCTCCGGGTGTCGGTATTTTCCTCGGTATTTTCAAGATCTCCTTAATGTTTTTTTAGCCATTCCGTTAGAGGAAATTTATCATCAGAGTCAAAATCATCTTCTGCTTCAAAATATCCAGCATGTTTATAACAGTTTGCAATAGTGTTTTTGCTAATTATCTGCCAAGCAAGGTGAATAAAATTTACAGCATCCTATAAGCTCACTGAAAACTCTTGTTCATCATCAATTACTTTTTTCATCTTTATCAGCAAAATCTTCCTATAGTGACACTTCAGGGCTGCAGTTTTGAACTGGTATTGGGTGGCATAAAAACCAGTTTGAATTGGTTCAACGGAATATTGCTGGAAAAATTATCTACTAGAAGAATAATTTTTCTGTTCTTCTTCTTCAATGCTGTATCCCATTGGAGCAGCTATTCGGTAAGTAAGTCAGATATCATCCACGCTTGGTTGTATGACCTGTACTTGACCGGTAGGGTCTTGTTTTTAAAACATCTTCGGTTTACTGATTTGCCGATAACATACAGCTTTCTCTTTTCTGTCCCAGATATGTTTGCAGTAACCAGAACTGTTATTCGAACCTCGGACAATTTTCCACCTGCACACATTTCTCCTTGGAATTTCAATGTCTTATCAGAGGTTAGTTTGTAGAAAAGGCCGGTCTCATCGGCGTTAAAAATATTGTCACTGTCACAATTTTTGCAAAGATCAGGCCAAACCGTTGTAAGCCAGTTATTAACAACATTCATATCAACTGATGCAGACTCACCAACAATTTTTCGTTAAAACGTTCAATCCAACTTCTGGGACACACAAAATCTCTTCCTTCTACTCTACTACCTATTTCACTTGCTTTTTGCAACTGGACCACTTATGGGAACATTTTCTTTCCTTTTTTGGGTAAACCACTGTAAATGACCCTTATTGACGCCTTCATAAGCTGATTTTCTGAGCCTTTTACAATTTGCATTGACTGACCATAGGACGAGAGAATCCTATATTTTTTTTCCAAGTAATGGAGACAGTTGCTTTAGGCAAATTCATTTCACAACAAATATCACTTTGTTTCCTACCACCTTTAATTTTAACATCGTATTTTTCTTTCAAAAGTTCATGCTTTTCGTTTTCGCTTCTCCATTTGAAGGTCTGTCATGAATATTCTCCACGAAATCTAAATCACAACTGAGATCAAAACCATAACAAAACGAATGTGCTATTTTAACCTTTCTGGAGGGAATTACCTGGTGAACCCCCGAAAAAGTTCATTTTAATCTTCCGGGGATTACCGGCGGAACCCTATATCTGGGTCCACTATAACCAGTACAAATTTACATTTGTCTTATGAGACTTTTTGAGTGTATTTCAAAAAGTGTTCATTATAACCGAGTGTTCCCAATAAACGAGTTTACATATACGAACTCCACTGTATAAAGAGTGTTAAACGAAAATCACTCGAACAAAACTTGGTTTTAAAAATTATATATTTTATAATGCATCAGTGCAGATGGTAGTTACTCCCCGTTTCTAATATTTCCCTGCACTATTATCCAACCACTCTGTACGTACTAGGCTTAACAAAGGCTTACATGAAGCAGAAGCACTCCAGCGACGAAGCTTAAGCCCTGACAGTAACCAACGTCCGGATCCAGCAACGAATACGCTTTGAGCAGGTTAAAAAGGGCCAGCTGGCCCGGTCCCAGGGGACTGCTAAAGTACGAATGGCTCGGGAACGTCCGACCCAAATCGATCAAAATGGCGTGCTGGTGCGAGGTGAGTTGCCTCAGCAGTTGTTCGTAAGGCACATTATAGTTGGGATACTTGACGCAGTCTGGCGGCGCTGATTTTAGGCAGTGCTGTTCGGACAGGAATTGCCACACCTCGCCCCTTTTACCGCGAGGGACGCCTATTGTTACGATACAATTTGAAAAAAATATTGAATATTAAAATTTAGCTTGATAGGAATAACTAACTTATAAAGCATTATAAAGTAACGAAAACTCTTTATAAGAAAAAATGTACAAAGTTTGTTACTAAGCTGCAAGTGGGAACAACTAACTAAAATCTTTGCAATCCTTTCAAGCTATGGAATTTTGCAAGACGTGAGAACTACACACCCTTTCCTTAATTTTTCGTTTAGCATCTCTCAAAAAGAGAATGTCTGATAAATGATATCCTACTCGACAACAATGGGTTTTTCACCTCGCCCGTTTAGAAAGAATTTTTTTGGCACTACACCAAATACAGCACATAACGAGGACTTTTTAGTTTTTCTTGGCAAATATGGAAAGAAAAATTGTTTCCAGCTAGCAAACAAAATATGATTACAAATCTTGTGGATAGCGAATGATACAGATTATTCTTTGCAGTCATTGGGCGGTGTCAATCTGGAACACACATTGGTCACTAATCGTCACAGTAGTATTCACTGCAGAGATGGATTTCCATAAAGTTATATGAATACCGTAGATGTGTACGCTTTCACAAAGACAGATGATTAAATAGTACACAGGGTAGTGTGAAAACAAGCTCAAAGTGCAAGTGCACTAACATTCATTCAGTCTTGCTGACACTAATAATTCTGGAGATAATTTAGTAATTTTTCTCTTTCTGCTATGTTTAGTTCCCAAGGTTATTTATCAGCGTTGAAATGGAGATATGAGAACGCGTGCCCGATAACTTACCTTGCCTAATTGCTTGCAGAAGCATCTTCTGATCGCACTTGATGTGGGACTCCTTATTGGTCAGCATTTCCCACACCTCCATCACCTCGCGTTGGTTCGGCTTCATCTCGTCGTATTCCAATTTGATCCTCTTTACCGCCGATTCTTCCTGTTCCGCCTTTAGTCTCGCGTTTTCCTTCTCCATCCGGACAAGCAAGACCGCTTGTCTGATTGCGCTCTTCCACAACGCCCTCAGCTCTTCTTTTGTGCGCTTCTTCCTCGGTTCTTCCTGCTTTTCGTCCTTCTTCGGAGTTACTACTCGCTTAAAGATAGCCTGCCGCCACGTGCCGGCGTCCATCTTGTTTCGGGCATCCTCGAAGTGACTGGTTTTGGGACTATTGCCGACCTTCAAGAAGCTGCGAATAAAGTTGGTGATAAAATTGTTACCAAGGGCTCGACTGAAAACTCCTACATGTCCATCATTGGAGATTTGAGGCCTTTCTCGGACCCAGAAACACTTCGGTCTGGTGACACGGAGCTTTGCTTGGCGTTTCGGACTGATAGGTGGATGTCCTTGGCTTCAGAGTGAGACTCCATGGTGGATGTTCTGGAGCGGAAACCGTCGGAATCCTTGTCGGAGACCGACGCCTCGCTTACCGATGCGCTGATAGAGGGGGTATGCCCTGAAGGATGTGGCGAGGATTCCTTCAATATACAATGATCCTTTGAACGCACGAACTGATGTTCGAAATGCAAAATATTAAGCCGCATAGATCTGGTCAAAATAATTGATGGTTTTTGTTGTATTGAAAAAAAAAGAAATCCGTATTATTATATAAATTATATAAAGTTTAGACTTTCTTAAAGGCCCAAATGAAAAACATCTTTAAAACCACATATTGGAGAAATATAAATTTGCAGGGGTTTGTGTATGTCAAAAACCAAGATGGCATCTTTGATAGCCGATGCGGCTAAACGAAGAAGTACCCAGAATTCAGAATGGAAATCTATTTAGAGAGATAAAAATATACAGTGATAACTGTTGTTAGGTTCCACTTCCAAACTCGACTAAACAACGAAAGTGACTAAAACGGTTATAGACCCAATTTGAAATATAGTAAACCATTCAAACTGACTTCTATGGAGTTGGCAATATCAAAACAACATATACTCGTGGAATATTGAATATATCGAACATGTATTACTTACTCTCTCTTTCAACAAGTAAGTAACAATTATAAATCCAATAAATCTACCATTAGCGAGCCTCGAGCATATTAAAATAAAATAAACGACTTACCTTATCTTACCTTACCTTACCGTTTGTTGTTGAATTGAAGTTGCTGACGATTCGCCAATCATCCTCTTGGCTTCTTCAGAGCTTAACTGCGGAAGTTTCTTTGAAAAATTAACAACCCTTTATGGAGGACGTCAAGCGCAAAAGCAGAAAGTTAGAACATCACCGACTGAAACTGGTAAGATTACTCTGGACACTGACCTTTTTGTTAAGACCACAATCTTATCCCTAATTTTCTTAAAATATCCCATCATGTCAAAACCTAATCCGCTGTGACACTGTGATAAATGTATCATCTCACCAACTTTCTGACACTGAAAAATCAGTTCTTGCAACAGGTTCCAACTTCGTCCTTGTATTATACCCAAGGAGGAAATCATGTCAAGTATAGAGTCTATCCTAAACAAACTGCCATCTCATACAGCTAATGAAATTCGATTTGAAATCGCAAAAGTAATTAAAAAATCAAAACCTTATAAATCTAATATTTCCGACATCGTATTCTAAAAGCACATAAAGAAAATTCTACAATGGTCAAATGAAAATTAGGAGAAGATTGAATGTTATTCTTACTGACGGATCCTATCGTCAACTTAAAAAACATCAATGGAACGCAACCTGTTATTAAAGATTCTTTTCTATCAAAATCCATGAAAAAGTCTGTCACCTCTCATGACTCTAAAATTCCTCGTCTCTACGGAATCTTCTCTAGCAAAATATCTAGCTTCTATATTAAAACCCCTTACAGGGAAAATTGATAATTTCATACTTATTTCCTTTCATTTCATTGAAAAATTAAGAGACATTACATTATATCTACAGGATATTCTAGTTAGTTTCGACGTAGAATCCCTCTATTCCTATTCCTGGAACTCCCAACATTATTTCGGATACATTAAAATCAGAGAATCTGAAACCAAACCTTCTCATCTTAAGTGAAAAATACTTGTTTGGAACACATTTATCTTATAAAGGACAAATTTCATAGTCAAAGTCATAGCGAATATATTTATGGCCTTTGAGAAGAAAGCCATCGACACCTTCCATTTAAAACTCTAATTATGGTAACATTGGTTCATTCTGTTTACAGAAACCCTACGCACACATTCCGATGCATTGTGCATAATGCTTTGTCATATCACCATCCGGTCGAAACATCATCGGTTATTAATTCTCTTGTTTACAGAGTCACTGAACTTAGAGTGCTCTTCTCTCTAACTTAACTTCCTCATTAAAGATATTAAGCGTTCCATCACAGAATACAAGTCACCATGACCTTCCAATAGCAATGAGCCCGAAAGCAATCCCATACTTGCACCTGTTGTGCTTCCTTACATTGAAAACATAACATATCAAAAGTTCTAAAGAAATATAATGTCAAAACCAAATTTATCACTTGTCCCAAAATCTCTCAAGATCTTCGATCCGTCAAAGACAAAATTCCATTTGAGATGCCAGGAGTTTACAGCATTCGATGCATACGGGGCAAAGAATACATTGGAAAAATATCAACTAGGCTCAAAGAACAAAAAAGAGCCTTAAAACTAAGACAAATAAGCTCATCAGCAATTCTTCTATAATTCGAATTCTATAATAACGAAAAATCCGAGACTCTATAGAAATCTATAAGGAAACAAACAATCTTAACCGCGACTCAGGTTTTTACCCGTCACCAATATCAGTCATCCAAGATGCTTATGCCCTGCAATATGCGGGCGAGTTTCAGTTCAGCTCTGAAGAAGCCAACAGGTTGATTGGCGAAACATCAGCAAGTTCAATTCAACAACAGCGACGCAGCAGGGATTAACAGATCTTGTAGGTAGACTTACCTTATTTAAATTGTTGACAATTGGTAGGCTCATGTTCCTCAAATTCCCGCCTGAATCGGTAGTGGACGCTCTGCGTTTCAAAAACTGGTCAAACGAATTGGTCAAAGACTTTTTCGCCTTGGTGAACACGTTGCTTCCTCCCACTCCCAAGTATTGATTTAGAAATTCGGAACTACAACGAAATACATGATTCGATCGAGCTTTTTTGAGTTAACATTTTGTTTTCCTACCGGTTCTCTGCGGTATCGTGGGTATGTCTGTTCTGCTTCATTTCGCAGTGAGCCCGCAACAGCATCATCAGGAATTCATTTTGTTCTCTGATGGAGTCGGTTTCGGCACCCCTGAATTTCGTTAGTATGGTCATCTGTTCGTCTTGATCTAGTTGTTCTAATCTAAAAATGTACTTTCTTCGATTGCAAGTCTAATTGGAACTCAAAGTTAAACGCCACAATCAACACATTTGCTTTACAAAACTGAAGAAGTACCAATTAATTGGGCAATTTATTTACTTTCTCAAAATGGCAGCTTGGGTCTTTTTATCGGGCAGGTGTTCTATTTCGGTGCACAATTTATGGAACCAGACCATCGGACAATGATCGCAGGACGTTATCACAGATTTGGGTCTCGGTTCGCTGTTCAGGAAGGCTTGAGTGATTGCTGCAAAACACTTGTAAAACCCAGGGCGGTGTGTACTTTTGCATGCGAGTTACCTGCTACTGCGTCACCAGCTATCGACGAACTTTCACATTTGAATATATAACCCGTATGGGTTTCTACGTTATTGCTGTACTCCCTGCATACGAAACCAAAATGTTCCGCCCTCGTCATACCCTATAACATTTGGAAGAGTATATAATAGACGTTTGTTTCGCTACTAAATACAAAATGATCACATCAAAATACACACGAAAACCCAAAGAAAAACACACAATACACATCGAAGATTTCTTTGTTATAAACCCGCATATTTTAATTCTTTCAGAACTAAATGAAAAGCTGTTAACGCTATTTTAAACTTCTCAAATCAAATCCTTTCCTATATTTAGAGTGTTGTCTATTACAGACAACATGCGATTTCTTGTGGAGTGATCATCTCTTGGTAATTTAAATCCGTTTAACACAAGTAGAAAGTAGAATTAACTGATAATCAGAATTTCTATCTGAGTAAAAATCACATTCCAGGTCAGAATTCATCAGCTAAAACTATCACGTTTCCAGCGTTGTTATTTGTGAAAACACTCGCAGGTATTTTAACGTTGAAGACCTTACACGTTATAGTTTGTCCCTTTGCTTTTATTACCTAAATAATCCACAATTTTACCTTGTTTGCATATCAGGAAAATTTAAGTGAAAGTTGTATCGATGCATGTTTTACCCATACTTTCCTACTACTTTTTTTTGCTATTATTATGAGATTAAATCAAAATTTACTTTTTTCTAACTTCAAAGTCGAAACCGGTCTTAAAAAATAAAATAAATTGCTGCATAAACAACGAGTTCCAACTATATTGGTTTTAAATAACCAGGACAGCTTGTATAATAGACGAAAATCGCTAATAAAAAATCTGTAGTTCCCAACATCGTTCGCGGCAAATATCTCCGTTTTCTAATAGTTTTTTTAGTTACATTTAATTACTTAGCCATGGAAACGTCAATTTTGAGACATTTTCACAAAATTTTAAGCACTTAGCCCGAACCCTTCAAACCCCCTGCCTTTTAAAAGAATCCGACACAGAGAACGGAGGACAGAAAAAAAAATTCCCCTGTACTTTACGACCAGCCGTTACCGTTGTTCCTTAAATATTTTGCAAATGCTCATACTCACCTGAACACAAGTAGTGACATCTCGGTGGTGCTTGTGAAGCAAGATAACTTTTCTATCCGGACTGATCAGTCTAAGGTCGGTTCTGTCGACCTGTAGTACCATAGTGCGGTTATGGTCGTCCATGTTCACAACGGTTGCAGCATCTTTGGATTCGCCTACGAGTCAAATTCAATTTTCTGACATACGTACACACATATAGGAAGCATTACTCTGGTTTTCCTCGTCGGAAGTTTTTTCGTGGGGTTTTGCGGTTAAGATGTTCGAATGCAGCGATATGGATCGTTGCAAACCGGAAGCGCTGGTAACGCTGTCGATAGAACTGGTTTCACTGATACTGGAGTCCTATTAGTATGTTGATAAGAGTCGTCATTTATCCAAATAATCGGAGACTTACTGTCGATCCGCGTCTGTGTATATTATCTTCGCTTTGCAACTTGCCTATGTTGCCTAAAAGTCTCAGTTTATTTTTCTCTAATTCGTGGATCCTGAATTTCTCTAAAGCGTCATCTATGAACGTGTCCGGGACTTTCTTCTGCCAGCATTTAATTTTTCCGATGTACAAAACCTGCGAAAAACGCTCGTAGTAGGTGCATAGTTAGATGAAGATGAACCAAGATTGAGGTTCAAAGTTCGTGTCGAAATTACGGTTTATTAGTTTATGAGTGCGGAGGTACAATGTGCTAACATTTACCAGTCGACTGTTCAATTTGCAAGAGAAAAAATCTCTTTTTCTAATCCTCAATCTAAAATACTCAAAGTGTCAATTTGAACGCGCGTGGTATTTTACTCAAAGATTGGGAGCGTTGATATATTTTGACGTTTCTCGATAATGATGGTTGTCAATGTATGGATGCAAAAATTATCATTAATAGTAATTATATAACATTAAAAGATTTTGTTTTTTTAGAGGACTGAAATAGATAATCTTAGGGTGATAGGCATGTCCGCATCCAACCTCAAAAACTGATGTGGGATATGCTTCAAATTTTGTTCGTGGATAGCATATAATTGTGATTATTCACAAGAACAGTGAAATACATAATAATAAAAGTGATGCAACACGAGGGCTTAATAAACTTCTTCAGACGCTCGTTTATTAAACTAGTGACTAAAGTCTCATTTATAAAACTTTTTGCATAATGCATTAGATGCTCTAAAAATTAATTTTAGATGCAATTTCCCCTAAAAACTCTGCATATATATTGCATATAAAACGACACTGGTTTTCTAGCCTTCGTTTTACGCCTTAATGCTGGTATTCACCTTATCTACCTAATAAAAGTGGTTAATTCGAACTTTAGTCTGAAAAGAAGTAATCTTATTTATGTATTTTACATACAATACAATGCAAAAACCACCTTTTATCTAGTATACCTAACAGATCGTTTTAAAAGTCCGTCTTGTTAACCATCATCACCTAAGATCGTATTCATAGTCATTTTTGAGGAGTTGAGGGTGCATTAAAAACTTGAAACGATGGATTCCAAATATTCCTACAAATTTTCACTAATTTTTCCCTCTACACTCACACATTGCATGATATTTAATTTTTATTTTTTGAATTACTCACAATTCCATAAAATTCATCTGGAATTCTTTGTATTAAATAATAGTTCAAGGAATTTGACCCTCGACCATTTTTCAATAACACCCTGTGTAGTAGATATAGTAAATATAATATACCACGTCTTTCCAACATTGCCGGCTTTCCTTTTCTATCCATTTTTCAAGCACATTAAACGTTATTCAAGAAAAACAGAATGCTAGCGAGGTATTTCAGAGGCTCATTCGGTATTCTTCATTTAGACACCGAAATTCTAGTTCTAAGATCCCATTTTTAGAACAAATAAGAAAATTATATCTATATATCTAAACTAATTCTTTGAGGAGATTTTTTTAAAAAACAAAGGCCCCAGATTCACCAGAATCCGAAACTCCCGATAACCACAGTTGCGCGTGAGGCTCACCTCGAAGAAGTTGCTCGAACTGGGTGATATATCGACGCATAAAGACGTCAGGGTGGCAGCGCTGCTCACTGATCTAGTCGGAGTCGCGTGACTTTGTTCTTTCATCTGCCTGTATAGATCCGTAACCTAGAACGAAAAGAGAAACAATATGGATACTTGTTAAACCGTCATGGATCATAGTCAACATTATCTTCATAAATTAAAGTTAATGACCTTCAAGCTTTTATTAGCAAATGCGTTGTCGCTTGTAAACGCACCAAACCAAAGCGTAGCCAAAAATACGACGCCGATATTTCGACTTTGATTCCGCCTAATAAATTACAAAACATCAAAACAAGGTTGCCTTTCGTTTGTCGTTTGTTTTTGAACGCCTTATTCAAACTACAAGAACGTGGTATGACATCTGAATTGGGACTCTCTTAAAAAGTGCAAGAGCTCGTATATGCTTGCTTATCTTTTGTTTTGGTTCCTTTGGGAGTTTCTAATGCTTTTCTACTTAAAAAATATGCTGCAAATAAACTCAGGCAAACGAATTATTGTTAAGGATTGGAAAAAGAGAGGAAAGTAAGTAAATAAGATGCAACGATACTATATAGTAATCTACACCTGTAATTAATAACCGCGAACGGGTTTTCCGTTTTTAACGACTGTACAAAGTAAGTCACTGATTGAAAAAAATAAGTTCTCGATTTATTCAATTATGCTTCAATCTACATAGTTACAAACACACAATATTTTAAAATCGTTTTGAAATATACCTAGTACCTACAGTTATTTCAAAACAAAGATGGCCTGTATGCATTGCCCTTAATTTTCTGGTCTCATAGGGCCATTGTGCAAATATACACCAATAGATATTTTTTTTATTTAGACAGATAGGAAAAAGTCTGGTGTGTATAGAGTGATGATGGTGCATGGTGCATTCAGAACTCGCAACTTTTATTTAATATGTATAATAGACATTTTAACTAGCGCTTAGATGAAAAACTTATGGTTAGAACTAATTTTAAGTGGAAAATAATATATCCTAAATTTACATATTCTAAATTGCTATTCGCTATCTGCTACTGCTCTCACACACATTCGAGAAAACTTGCAAATTCTGTGATACTTAAAATGCACTAGATCCTGTACAGGTTTATCCGATTTATTTATTCTATTTATTATGACTGAAAGTTTATAACATAAACATTACTTAAACCTTGCTTGCTTGTATGTTCACTTCTTATCCTTTCATTGCTTCGTTCTTGCAGAAATTTTGTAAATAATACAATTTTAATATACAAGTTAGTTAACCCGACCCAAATGGTTTAATCTAGTTAATATCTAAAATAAATCTTAATGGCTTATTTTACCGTGACCCATATATTGTTTAGGTTATATTTTATTATTCTGAATTCCTAATAATTACAATATTACATTTACGACATTAAAATAATAGTAATTTTTTCAATACTTCTCGAAATATATACCTAGTATTTCTTAAGCAAGCTCAATAAAAAATGTTAAAATTACTGGATTCCTCCTGCGTCGGGCTTTGCTGAGCCGAAATTGCTTGAAGTAGTTTCAATCAAGCTCTGAAGAAGCCAACAGGATGATTGGCGAAACGTCAGCAATTTCGACTCAGCAAAAAAAGACGCAAGACGAATCCAGTGGAAGTTTCTTTGAAAAATTAATGTTAAAATTAATTTACTAAATAGTTCCTGTATTTCACAATTTTCTTTTAATTTATTGATTTAAACTTCCACTGTCAGTTAAATTATTCTTAAAGCCTTTAATTGAAATAGGTGGCCCAATGATACTGAAACAAAAAATATAAGGCCATTTTCACGAACAACATAAAATAAAAAAGTTGTATTCATTGGTGGGAAAATAGAGAGTTATGGGTACGAGAGTTATATGTACCCTAAAGCTCATGCTAAGTCTATCTAGTTTAGAAATAATTTTTTTCCGACCTTCATTTACGACTGACTGTTGAAAATTATATCGCAAAATTTTCCATTGAAAAGTTTTTATTCCACAGAATATGATACATCTTTTTTTGCAATTACTTTAGTTTTGGTTTTCATTGTTTATTTAATGTTACACTATATGATACGGGAATAGTTTTGGTTAGTCAGGTCAGATAACTTGTTGATCCGACAATGTAGACATAAAGTTATTATCGATGACTTCTTAAATGGATTCAGTGGCAACATTTTCGAGAAATATGAGAACCGAATCTGAGATACCCCGCGTATGTCAATTTCAATGGTTACCTTCGATCTATACACTAACCACTTTGAATAATTTTCCCGTAACTCGGAACGTAGTTCCATCGGGTTTCCGATCACCAATTTAATCAAGCGTCTCGATTGCACCATTATTTAGCGCCGTGTTTGCGACAGCAAATCAATTGGGCGGTTACGTCTTTAATAAAAACGTTAAATGTTGTTCAAGGCGTTCGTATTTGATCGTTGCAAAATATATCTTTTATAACTTGAGAGATTTAATTCGGTTGATATAGCACTGATCCGATTTTTTATTTGCGAATCGCATAGGAATCCTGGAGCTTACACTATAGGATTTCAATTAACACGACGAAAGCATACAGGTACATATGAAATGGGTATGGAGGCCTTTTTAATTAAACGTTCCGTGAAAAAAATCAAAGGCAAGCCTCAAGGTTAGTTAGCTTAGTCCCCTGCCCAAATATTTGCAATACATTTAACGTCGTTTCCATTTGAAACTAATTAAAAAACGCATTAAAAACCTTGAAAATTTTCAAAATGTATGTAAAAGCATTAGTCCTTTTGTCACAAACCACAAACTTTCCCAACATAAATCACAAAAACATGTCACACGCAATTTATGCTGGTTTTACCCAACTTTCAACCGAGATAACTCATTGCGATTGTCCATAATAATAAATAATAATTACTAATAACATTACATTAAATTTAACAGTTTTGCTTTGCTTTTAGTGTGAGATTAATGAACATTAAAAAAATAATGCGAAATTGTCAGAGTGATTATTCTTTTTAAATAGTCGTTTCACTTATGTTAATATAAGCATTTTTGCAGATCTCTTCACATTTGGCGAGGTCTCCTCCACAACACCTCAACGTTTGTCGCAAAATTAAATTGAAGAACATTTAGAATAACTTTCTGTCAATATTTGAAGAACAAATTTCACTAGGATTAGACTATATCAAGAACAAACCCAATTTTAGAAAAACAAGACCAGCGGTTACTGATTTAATTGGACAGTCACCCTAATCTACCTACGAAACCGTCCACACAAAATTTCTAAGAATTATTTGAAAGTGTAGATACCTAAATTAGAAAGTTAAAACTAAAATTAAAAATTAGAAAATTTTACTAAAAATAGTACTACAGCAGCCTGTGGCAGGTTCTTTGAAAAATGTATTATATATTTTTTTTAATTTATATATTTTTATTATATAAACTAAAGAGATAAATGACATTGAATGATTATTATTATTATTCAAGACTCAGATAATAATATATGTGATCTGTTAAAATATAAAATATTTCCATAAAAAAATATCAACCTGTCAAAATTAGACATTCCAATATTCGTCCAAAATTTGTTAAAGTTTATAAAACACAAAAAAAAGAGGAGAATAGGGACTGGGGAACTGAACTAAAAATAATGGCACACAATCAGTAAATATTAGAACAATCATCTTCTTCTGAATTTTTTGAAATCCCTATTTAATTAAAGACATTCCCAGAAAATTTTCTACCAAATGAAATATAACTTTCAGTAATGCCAGTATGTAGAACACCCAGTACTGTGACATTATTTTTCTTTCTCGACCTTGTAATTGAAACTTCTCCTATACTTCAGTACTATTACACAAAAAATGAAAATAAAACTCCTCAACCAAAAATGAATACCTCTTCACAATTCTTGAACGGCTGCCAAATATTGTGCGAGACAAGGCGACACCAGTTTCCACTTGCTGAATTTTTCCAACTAGACACACGGAAGCTTTCATTTTATTAATTAATCCTATCCACTGCACCAATCATTGTCTAAACTTCTTGAAATTTTGAATTAATTAAAGGTGGTTTAGAGAAAAAAAAGCAATGGCTTCTGTTGCCACAAACGCAAACTGATGGTGCCAAAAACACTAGCAGGTTATATTATAAGAGCTGTTCAATTTACCAAAAGGCGAGTGCTCACAGAACTGTAACCTCAGGTAGTAAGCAAAAAATGAAAGGATACAATTCTCCAGGAATAAGGAACTAAGCCACACAGGCCAACTAGATTCTCCTGCTAAAGCAAACAAGGAAGACGGTGAGAAAATTGAGAAGGGATAAAGAGGCATCTAAGAAGAGAACAGTGAATGCAGATTTTACCAAGAAGACGAGGAAAGAGTCAGACGTATGTTATGTCAAACTAGAAACATTAAGAGGTCAATATCAAAGCCATGGAGTTCAATCAGAGAGGAGAAACCATATAAATCCCTAAAACGATGACAATTTTATCAAATTATAAGATTTTATTATTGGAAGTAGTCATCTCGGAATGTTGTGAATATTCTTTAATTATTCTGACGTCTCTGTGTCCTGCGGAAGCTAGGTTTGAAAAGCACAAATACATATGCTGGATACTTGTACAATATAATAACCTTCAGGACTGACGTAAATACACTAAATATACGTTTCCGAGGAGATTCTATACCATGTCACAGAACTGGCATTTTCGACCGTTCGACATGTGACTTGGCTACAGTTTACAAGGGTTTAGCCGAATCACTTTTGTACAGCTTCAGTATACGTGTTTTCTAGAAAAGGTTTTTGTATTTCTTATATTTTGTTGTTTGCCTCCTTTATAACGGATATTGCCACTTCAAATATATATTATTTTATAATCATAATAACAAATCGACTTTTATTTCAAATAAAAAGAATAAGAGAAGCATCTTATAAAAAAAAGTATGCATATATAACTAATTCTGAGGTAAATTTCAGTGCCAACGCTATTGGTCAAATTACAAGTTATATCTAAACGTTTAAACGAATCTGTTTGAAAAACAATGTTGGCGTTCAAGAGCACTTGTTTATATTTAGGTTGTGAAACTGAATTAATGAATGGAGTTTCCTTCGATTTTTGA